GCCTCCTTGTGACTCTAGGAATGCTCTCCTTGCCTGCCCGCGCTCACCTGGACGCTGGGAGACAAGTCTGGCTCAGCATGACACAGGCCCAGGGGTGTCAGTGGGGCCAAAGGGAAAACTCCTGCAACCTGTGTCATGCTTAGAGCGCTGCCTGGCCCCGGATAACCCTGAGCTCCCTGCTCACCATCACCTGTCCCCCAATCCCTCCTGGGATATGCAGGAGTGCAGTACAAACTTCACCTAGCTCTCTGCCCGCCGGGGCCCCTGCACTGACCGTGATGACCCCCTCATCAGAGCCTTGACCCCAGGGGGTCCACCAGGAGTAGGGCTTTGCACTGCACTGGGAAGGTCTGCATCGGAACCAGAGACAGGGCGTGGTGGCTGGACGGAAACAGGGAGCCCCTGTAGGATGCATGGGCAGGCAGGCCCTGGGCAGCAGGGTGTGTCCACAGCTTCCCCTCTCTCCAAGCCCCCTCCAGCGGGCACAGCCCCTGCATCCCTCCCTTCCCTCCGCCATTCCCAAGGCGCGTCTATCCCCAGCAAATGCTCAATTTCCTATTAAGCCAAAGTAGGCTCTGGAGGGAATCAGAGGCAAAATTGTTTCTTGGGCTCCAGGGGATGTGCGACAAGACCAGACGCAGACAAACACACTCTGGAAATCAGGGGACGCCCAGAGGCTGGGGGATGGTGACGGCGAGAGGGTGAGAGCCGAGGTGGCTAACCCTGTGGCCACTACACCAGAAGCACCACGGCACCAGGCCAGAGCTGCAGCCTAGGCTGCGCTGCTCTGCTCAGTCGCTCTGATGGCTCCTCCGGGAAGTACACACTGTTTGACTTTTCACTGCCTCCCAAGTGCAGTCTACTGCTATCCCAGTGTCTTCCCTGCTGTGTAAGCCTGTCTTTGGCTTACACAGCCATGGCTTGTGCTCGTGTGTGAATGGGTGCCCCTGCTGTACAGCCACATGTGCTATGGTTCCGTGGCTTGAGTCTACGGCTACATAACTACACTTCGCTGCTCCACAGTCATATTCTACTTATTGCTCTTGGTCCACTGCTAGGTAATCTTGCTGGGCTGTTATGTAACAGTGACCCACGGACTGCACGGCTCCCTGCAGTGGTCATGGAGCTGTACACTCTTGCTACCCACCCATCTTCTATTGGTGGGAGCTGGACCCTGCTGGCGCATGAAGGGGCAGGAGCTGGAGTTTGGGGCTGGGTCTCCGAAGTCCAACGAGGGTCAAGGGCCAGAGGTGGGAATTGCCAGCAGGGTCCCTCTGAGCCGAGCGCGAGCCAAGTGGTGAGTTCTAGGATTGAAGGGCAAGGCTGGGAGGGTAAAGGGAGAGTAAACCAAGAGACAGGAAGGGCTTGGGCGAGCTGGGGTGGAAAGTTAGGCAGGACCGCTGCCTTGAAACTGCATGAGTATCTGGGACCTGCTGATGGCAAGCTGGCTGGCTGGGCTGGGGCAGGGCCCTGAGCTGGGTGGGCAGGCTTCTGTAGCCACGTGGTAGATGAGACCGCAGGATCAGGGAAGCTTGGGCAGATGTTGTCCCACCTCTGGGCCTCCTCATTGCCACCCTTTGTAAAGTGGGGGACTCGTTTCTGAAGGCTCCCTCAGATGCTTGTGCCGTCCAGCGGGGGGCTCAGCTGTGGGATTCACTCAGCATTGGCCAATGTCTATGTTGAGGCAGGCCCGGAGCGGGTCCCGGAGCCCAGTGCTGAGGAAGGCTGTGCTTCAGTAAGTGTACTTGAGTTCAGGGGCTGAGTCACGCTGTCTGAGTGGACCTGACCCATTAGCACACGAGGGCTGGCAAGCCAGTCTGGGTGGCCTTGCTCAGAGTCAGCGAAGGGGGAGTGGAGAGACCCTGTAGTCCTCTGCTGATGGGTCTGTGGGGTGATTCCCAGGGTGGGTGCATGGGTGAGTTCTGGATCTAGACCCAGTGGAACCAATGCAGCACTCTTTGGAAAGCCTCTGGGGCCCCTGCCCATGACCCGGGTGAAAGGCCTCTCATGGATCGGGGACCTGGGGACACATGCTTCTCATTCATCCTGTCACTTACGTGGCTCCCTCTCTCCTCCTCGGGGCTAACCTTGACTCCTTGAGCTGTAGTTGAGCCCTTTTTCTTTAGGCACAACCCTTTAGACCAGCGGCTCTCAACCTTCCTCATGCCGCGACCCTTTCATACAGTTCCTCCTGTTGGGGTGACCCCCCCAACCATAACATTATTTTCGTTGCTACTTCATCACTGTCATTTTGTTACTGTTATGAATCGGGCGACCCCTGTGAGAGGGTCGTTCGAGCGGTTGAGAACCGCTGCTTTAGACCAAAACTAACTGGTTCACTGCCCGTCACACTATCAATGCTAGACTCACTGCTGCCAAGTCCATTCTGACTCACAGACCCGCAGCGTGGGGTGAAACTGCCTGTGGGTTTCTAAGAGACTAACTCCTCCCAAGCGGGGGATGCTAGGGGTTCAAACTGCTGAGTGAATGGTAGGCAGCCCAATGTGTAACCCACACCACCCATGGAATGCTGTTATGTCAGATTAAATGTTACTTCAATCTGTCAGATAGTTTACAAACATCTCCACAAATCAAATCCCTCCTCAGTCATGCTTTTCTCCTTTTCTCTGGCACACCACCATCATCA